TGACCCTATGTACCACAATATGAAATAATGCCCGGTCTTGCACCATCCTCACAATTGCTCTTATGTTTGGGCCTGTGATAGGTAGGTTTATTGTGCCAACCTGGCCAATAGGAGCATGTGGGATTAATGAGGTCACAGTTTGATTGGAGAGCAAAGAGATAAATGGCTTGGCAACGCCCACCCCTCGCTCTCTTGCTCTCTGGAGAGCTGACCAGCTTGTGGCTGCTTTAGCTAGTTCTCTGCCTCAACTTGTGACCTACACTACCCGTGGGCCAGCCAACTTGTGGATCATGTTGCTAGAGCTTGAAGTTCCTTCAAGATCTCCTTCACCACAGTGCTTTTGTGTGTGTGCATTGCTTGAGCTTGAGGCTGTTGTCATGCAGTGCTTGAGATCGATATCTCCTCCAGGCTTGCTTTGCTAAGCTCCTGAGTTGCTGACTGTTAGTGACCCACCCTGTTGTTTGCTGCATGTGGTGGGGCTCTGCCTGCATTACCAGAGGGAAGACTCAGCTTTCTACTTCCTTAACCTTGGACCCGGCAGCCCTTGTGAATTGGAGGACTTATAGTAACTGTTCTATGGAAGTGAGTTGAACTGTGCCCTCTGTACTGCTGCATGGACTAGTTAGTTGTTATATTCCTTTGTGATGTATAAATCTATCTATCTACCTGTCTGTCTATCTATCTATATATTTACCTATCACCATAAGTGTCCTGGTTTTGTTTCTCTAGAAAACCCTGACTAACACAGAACCCATCTTTTCTTCTAAGAGCATTCTGATTGTACTTCTTCCAAGACAGATCTGTTTGTTGTTCTGGCAGTCCCCGGTACTTTTGATATTGTTTGCCAGTATTGTAACTCAAATGCATTGATTCCTCATTGGTCTTCCTTATACAGTGTCCAACTTTCACCTGCATATGAAATGATTGAAAATTCCATGGCTTGGGTGAGGCCCATCTTAGTTCTCAGAGTGACATCCTTGCTCCTCACCATATCAAAGGATCTTGTGCAGCAGATGTACCCAATGCAATGAGTCGTTTGATTTCTTGACTGCAGCTTCCATGAGCATTGGTTATGGATCCAAGCAAGATAAAAATCCTTGGCAATTTAAACGTTGCTCCATTTATCAAGCTGGCATTTGCATCAGCGCTGGTATTTTGTGTTTGTACGGTGTAGTCTTCTGAATTGATGTTATGTGTTCACCGTTACAGAATCACACAGAGTAGTTGCATTGCCCTGAACGTCTTCTGGTCTCCACCTGCTCATCTTTCCTTTCACGCCTGCTCAATGAGACTTACAGCATTCAGATGTGGAAGCATAAAAAGGTTTCTGCAATGTGAGTACATTCCCTGAAATGGTTAACTTCTTTAATTTCATTTGGTCAAAATTATGGAATCCCTTCTTCTACCATGATTATCTATTGACTTACTCTGTTAACATTATAAAACAAATGTGTCATGCATTATTATCAGCATGCTGTTATGGTGAAGGTGTGCTGAACCCAAGTCATGGCTTTGTAAAGACCCCATTTTCCTGCAAAAGCTGGGCCATGAAAATTAAAGAGAAAAAGACAGAATTAATGCCTTTGAATGGAATACACACTAGGGCAGC